CATTGATGGAAGCTCTTTTGTTGACATCATATTGCTCCCAGGAAAGGAGTGAGGGGAGGGCTAGATTCAGTGTAAATAAATCAGGGTAAGCAAATATCAGCCTGCAGGCTGGATTCAGACTGCCAGGGTTAGGTCCTGGTGGGCCCATTCCACTATATTTACCTGCACACCCACAGGTACCAGCAATTGAAACTCCTGTTGGCCAGAAACAGTGATCCACAGCCAACAGGAGCTGTGATAGTTGGTACCTGGGGCTCTGTAGATAAATACAGCTGCAGCAGCCTGCCAGGGGCTAACACTGGCAAACTGCTGGCATGTTATTGTTCACCCCAAACTTGATCAGGAGTGTGGATTTCTCATACCTTTGAGTAAACCTGACAAATTATCCCAGGCCTAATCCATCTGTCCAGGCTTGGCTCCATTCACGGTTCCTTCTGGCAAGATCGCTGACCATGCCACTGACTTTTTCTCAGTGTCTAATGAGCTATACAGCCCTGTGCATAATAACCTGCACAATTCCAACAGTTGATAGAGGGATGAAGAGCAGCAGAATGAGGCTCAGAAAACACCCCCTTGCTCCCATGTAATCATTCAGTTGTTTGAGGTGACAAAAAAATAGGGCAAAATAGCTACCAGTCACCATCTTGTTCATTTAATCAGAGGTGAAAATGTTTAGTATTAAGCACCAAAGCAGTGGATAGGTTCATTTTTCAAACCAAATTATACAGTGGATTAAGAATTATCTGCAAAGTTTAGACACAAGAAAGGCAAGAGTAACAACATCGGTTATATTTTGCTTCATGACTTTCACAGAAAGACAGATTAATATTGTTACAAGAATGCAAACAACCATGCAGAAAGGAAAAGGAATGGAGCTAATCAGTTGTATCTGGAACATGTTTATAAAAGATTAATTTCCTTCAATGGGCCTCAAATTTGGGGGCAGACTGTGAAAGTGGAACAGGAACTTACATCCCCAGTAAAAAGTAAGCTCAACTACTTGTCCCTAGTTAGTTTATAGCAGTGTTTCCCAATTGGTGCTCCGTGGAACCCTGGGGTTCCGCAAGGAGCTGGCATTCCCCCCAACCCTCTGAAAGGGAGCATGCCAGCTAGCCACTGTCTTAAAGAAGCAGCAACTTGTTTTCCCTTCCTCCCTGGTGACGCAAAGGCATAGTGAGGCAGGGACAGAGGGGAACAGTTGCTCCCAGCCGACACACATAGGGGGTTCTGGACAGGGGTAACCCCACGTGACCCATAGCGGGGAGGGAAGCACTTCCCCTCCCCAAAGGAGCCAGCACATGCTGCCTGAACAGCTGGGGCTGTGGCACCCTGTAACTTAGTTCCATGGCCTTTCTGCATGGGGGAGGGGAGAGTCAGGAGATCTGGGTCTGCACAGCTTCGACTGTGCAGGCAGCGCTCTCTGTCCTGGGACTCCCCACACCCTCCCCCCTGCAGGATGGCATCGTGGAAGTTGCTGGAGTGCAACAGCCCCTGCTGTTCAGGCAGTACTCATGCCAGCTGTTTGGGGAGGGGAAGTGCAGTCGCACACTGCAGGATTGCCAGGTACTGATCCCAGCTGCCCCTGTCCCCTGCTCCAACTCCCCCCCCCCCCGAACCCCCCCCCCCACACCA